GGTTAGTATCCAAAATATATAAAAAACTTATAAAACTGAACACCCTAAAAACAAATAATCTAGTTAAAAAATGGGCGGAAGACATGAACCAACATTTCTCCGAAGATATCCAGATGGCTAACAGACATAGGAAAAGATGCTCAACATCACTCATCACCAGGGAAATGCAAATCAAAACTACAATGAGATATCACCTTACACTGGTCAGAATGGCTAAAATCAAAAACACAATAAACAACAAATGTTGGCGAGGACGTGGAGAAAAAGGAACCCTCTTACACTGTTTGTGGGAATGCAAACTGGTGCAGCCACTGTGGAAAACAGTATGGAGATTCCTCAAAAAGTTAAAAATAGGACTACCCCATGATCCAGTAATTGCACTACTGGTTATCTACCCCAAAAATACAAAAATACTAATTCAAAGGGATACATGCACCCCGATGTTTATAGCAGCATTATTTACAATAGCCAAATTATGGAAGCTGCCCAAGTATCCATCCGTAGATGAATGGATAATACACAATGGAGTATTATTCAGCCATAAAAAAGAATGAAATCTTGTCATTTGCAACAACATGGATAGAGCTAGAGAGTATAATGCTAAGTGAAATAAGTCAGAAAGACAAATAATACTATATGATTTCACTCATATGTAAATTTAAGAAACAAAAGAAATGAATAAAGGAACATACAAGCAAGATGCCTGGCTAGCTCAGTTGGTAGAGTTTGTGACTCCTGATCTCAGGGTTGTGAGTTTGAGCCCCATGTTAGGTGTGGAGCATAAAGAAAAAACTAATAAAATAAAAAAATAAAGCAGGAGTTGGGGGAAAGGAGAGACAAATCAAGAAACAGACTCTTAACTATGGAGAGCAAACCGATGGTTACCAGAGGTGGGGTGGGGGGGGATGGTGAAATAGGTGAAGGGGATTAAGAGCACACTTATCATGATGGGCACTGAGTAATGTACAGAACTGCTGAATCACTGTATTGTACACCTGAGACTAATAGAACACTGTATGTTAACTATACTGGAATTAAAATAAAAAACTAAAAAATGAAAAAGAATTCTGCATATGATAAAAATGACATATTTTTCTAAATTAGTTTAGAAAGGATGGATTTCAACCTTTTTATGGAATAAATGGTACTAGGATAGATTATGTAGGGAAAAAAAATCAATTCAGATTCCTACCTAATGTCATATTCCAAAATAAATTCCAGATATTTTACAGTATTTATTTTTTTAAACTTTTTTTTTTTAAGATTTTATTTATTTATTTGTCAGAGAGGGAGAGAAAGAGCACAAGCAGGGAGAGCGGCAGGCAGAGGGAGAAGCAGGTTCCCCACTGAGCAGGGAGCCCGATGCAGGACTTAATCCCAGGACCCTGGGGTCATGACCTGAGCTGAAGGCAGACACTTAACTGATTGAGCCACCCAGGCGTCCCTATTTTACAGTATTTAAAATAAAAAATGAGACCACAGAAGAACTGTTATATATTTATCTGATTTGGGGCCTATGTAAAGGCAAAAGACAAATAATTACGGAAATAAAAATGAAAGTAACAGAAGTAAAATAAAAATAAACTGAAAAAAAAAACCCCTATTTGCAACATATACAATTAAAGGGGTTATATCTTTAAAATAGGATACTTTCTTAGCAGCTCTGGTAAGAGGCTTAATGGGACAACAGTTGAAGCAGATGATTCCCATTATCTTTATTGATTAACTATGAACTACGCGTTTAGTCCCTCCCCACCCCCCCATCTAGCTTTTAGGAATAAAAGACAGCTGCATGAATATGCAATAAGATCTCAGACATAACAGCACCTTGGAAGAGGTGGCTGAGGGTCAATATAGTTCCTATTTTTAATTATTTTTGCTGAAATAGGAAGGAAGAAAAAAGATGTGTAGATCTGGTTGCCCGATGATGGCTGACCATGGGTGGCGAGGTCAGGTGAGAGGTGACTATGGGTCACAGAGCCCCTCAACCCCTGTGTGGGCCTGCCTCACAGACTACACAACCTTTTATATTAAGGTGTTGGGGGGTGGGGAGGCAAGGAGCGACTGTGAGAGAAAGAAAAGAAAAGAAAGGAGCAGACGAGAAAAGATGTAAAGGAAGGCACTCATGGAGAGGCCTTCCCTAGTCTTAGGCAATTCTACCTGCACTTCAATAAAAAGAAAGGAACCTGTGAAAACTTTCAATTGAACCAAACCATGAAATTCCATGCTAAGAGACCAAAGACCTATTTAGTGCTATCAAAAAAGGGAGAGCATACATGAGATAAGGTAATACCAGTGCTTGAGTAGTCCCCTTAGTGTTGGGGTGGGTTAGAGTCCAAACAAAAGGAGACATCTTCAGGGTGCAAGGTCTCCGTCCAATCTGCCTTGGTGACCCAGAAATTAAACTTCTGGTGTGTATGCATGGGTTGTTATCTTTCACTTGAAAACCACTGTCCTACAGGACACTGCTTCATATCCTTGCTGCCCAGACATCTCTCTCCCATTACTGTACTCTATCAAGCAACACACACAATGGTTCTCCATCCCAGAAGACGCAGAAACTCCCTCTGCTTCAGGCCTAAACAATATCCAGATTGCTCTCAGAAGAGTTGTCTGCTAGTAGGATTTTTATTTAAACCATGCTCTGGAATCTGGGGTGCATTTCTTTTTCCCCAGTAGTGGCGTTTTCCAAATAGCACCTTGTTCCTCTACCATCTGGTTCTTCCTGATAATACTCTTCCTGATAATCAACTTGGTCTACTGGCAGACACCATAATGTTATCATCACAGAAGTGACAAACTTTGGCAACAGGAAACAATCTGAAAGAATGATGAAAAGAGAATTCCCTAAAAGTCTATCCAGATACCAAATCAGCTATTTACATGGAAGAGATCTGGTTCCAGCCCCACAGTAAACTCTATAGCACTCTGGGTAAAGTGTCAGAAGACAGAAGGAGCATCAGAATTATTTGGATCATATCCAATATTAGATTCACTCTCGGGATTCCCAAGGGAGAGATGAAATGATTGGCCTTCCCCTGAAATTGCTGGTGTAAGGCACAACTCAACAGCCTGGTGTGAATCAGAAACGCTGCGCTGAGAAAGTGCTAACTCCAACTCCCACGTCTTAGTTCGGCACATGTTGGCAGTCACACACTGGGGACGGCCTTCTTTGGGAACCACTGGCTTTTAGGATGTAGACCAGAATTTTCCCTTACTGCCAACACAATCAACTACATGAAATCAACACAACTGATTCACACACCCCAAGGCAACTGAAAAGAGGCAGTTTCCAGGAATCAACAGTAGTAGGTGTGGTTCAGCTTTACTGTATGGCTGAATGGGTCCACTTGGCCAGAGACCCCCAGGGTCCTTATACTTACCTATAAATTCATCTGAGAAGGTGAGGCTGAGGAGGAGCCAGAACTCTAAAGCTGTCTATTCTCCTAGCCACGACATGTCAAGACCATTAGAAGGGATAACAGTCTCCTAGTCTCCTATCAAACCCAGGCAGAGGAGTATCTGGAGCATTCCACAGGGAGTAACAGCAATCTGCACTTCAGAAGAATGTCGCAGAGCCAGATATCCTCTCTGTTCAAGGTAGATTAGGACTCAGAAGAGGAACAGCATAAAGTAAGAAAGTAGGGGTAGGAATCTAGCTAAAGGGGGAGGTCTTCCTTAAATCTACCTATGGTCCATTTCATCCCGAACACACATGGCTGTAAGGTGCCCTTTAACCTGCAGTGTTCTGGCTAAGATCAAGTCTATCTCTGTTAGGGTTAGTTCATGAAAACCCCTAACCCTACAGAAAAGGCAGGCTCTAGTTGTAGTATTTGATTTTGTTGTTTGTTTGTTTTTTAAGAAAATGGTTCTCAGGGGCTCTTCACATTTCCTGTGTTATTCTCTGGGTGACAGACACAAGTACTTCCCTCTTCTCACTTCCAAAGGAGGACACAGCTTTGGGTCTTTCTTCAAAGACTTTTCCAGGTACCTTTGTTCACTTATAACAACGGATCTATCCTTTAAAAAGTGCCAGGAACTTTTCTCTCAGCCACTGATGTCATTAAGGAACTTTCTGTCTAAATAAGACTATGTTATTATTTATCCTCTTTTCAAGACTAAAAAGAAATCTCCAAAAACCATGGAGTACTTAACTTGTCCTACTTAACCTAATTACACACACACACATACACACACACACATATATATTTAAGTTTAATAAACAATCACAGAGTGTCACAGAATGGGTCTGGTCCTTCTCTTTGACCCAGACTTTTGAGGCACTTCCCCAGGCAGCCCAAGTCTTGGTAACTGACTTCCAGAGCCTGCTGAAGTGGATCCAAAGAGCTGGGCTGGAGTTGTAAATTTTTGCCACCATACTTCTATGAACTTTATCCTTTTGTTTATTCAAGAAATCACCAATATCCAGGAAGTCAAAGAGATGGGAAAGAAGGGCAGGGTGGTGGCGTGTTATTGGCTAAATCCAGAGGTCCCTGGTGAGGCCACATTTAACAGGAGGCAGACTCATGGCACCAACCAGAAAAGCGCCTTCGTCACAGCCTGCTGACTGATCCCGTGTGAGATGCTGGTGCCTTTAAGACAGCACGTTCTAACTTACAAAGCACCTGCCCATGGGAGGGTCTCTGCTACAGCAAAGGACACTGATCTGCCCCATGGGAGAGTAAAGGACAAAATGTGCCCCATAGCAAATTTTAAAGTACCTCTCAGTCCTATCACAGCAAAATACTTTTCAAATACGCAATTCAGTTAGATAGCCATTATCATGGCATTCCGCCCCCCGCCGCCGAAAACCCCAAGTCTCCTACTAGTGAAAGGAATCAGAGAGGCTCCTAGAATTTCACTCGGCATCAACTGCCTATCAATAAAGAAAAACTCAAATCAAAGCTCAACCTCTTTCTGAAGGGTCTGCTGTCAGTCATGTCATGAAGGTTTAAGTGGAAACAGGGAAGATATTCAATAAAATATTTATGCTCTCTTACCATTAGCATCTTGGACTCCAGTAAGTGCTCCGACAGCTGCTGCGGTTTCCCCAGACAGTACGATCTGTCCCCCTCCTTGCAAGGTGGCCTCGGCCAGTGTGGCGACAGCATGGGCGGCGGCTTCACTGTGGGCACAGGAACAGCAGAGAGGGGGCTGTGTAAGTTGAATAAAGGTACAGCACTGCAGCAAGACAACCCATCCTCCCAACCCTTCCTTGGATCTCTCTACTGACTCCATGGGTATGAGCCTACCAGTAAATGCAGGAGTCCAGTACTGCTGGACAGAGCCAAAGGAATTTTTAAATGATAACAGTAAATAGCTAGAGAACCTCCAAGTCTTACAGATTTATTTTTTTTATTCTTTTTAAAGATTTTATTTGTTTATTTGACAGAGAGAGACACAGCGAGAAAGAGAACGCAAGCAGGGGGAGTGGGAGAGGGAGAAGCAGGCTTCCCGCCGAGCAGGGAGCCCGATGCGGGGCTCGATTCCAGGACCCTGGGATCACGACCTGAGCCAACGGCAGACGCCTAACGACTGAGCCACCCTGGCGCCCCAAGTCCTACAGATTTATAAAGCTAATGTGAGATTTTCTTTAAGTCTAAGAAACGGGTGTTTGAGGGGGCGCCTGGGTGGCTCAGTTGTTAAGCGTCTGCCTTTGGCTCAAGTCATGATCCCAGCGTCCTGGGATCGAGCCCCGCATCATGCTCCTTGCTCCGTGGGAAGCCTGCTTCTCCCCCTCCCACTCCCCCTGCTTGTGTTCCCTCTCTCGCTATGTCTCTCTCTGTCAAATAAATAAATAAAATCTTTAAAAAAAAAAAAAGAAACGGGTGTTTGAGGACAGAAGGCACTCATTACCAATCTCTATCAATATTGGTTGAGTGCCTGTCAGCAAGAGTGGGAGCTCTGATCCACATTGACAATGCAAGTCTTTCTGGCTGGCAATCACAAGGTTTTCTTGTTCTCTCTTCTCTTTATGGTAACGTTAGGCAGATTATCTAAAACTGCCCTTTGGTGGCAGAGGATGGATGATGCGAGAAGTTAACAACCTGGACTCACTATTTAATTAATATTAAATAATAACAATGTAGTTCATATCCATGACTTCCAATACAAAGTAATGGCTAAGACCCTAACATCCTGCAAAGTCTAGCTCTTCTCTTTGCCTCAGGGTACATGTGGGCAGTGCTAAATTAAGGCTTGAAATTTTAAATGATCACGTAAGCCCAAACTCCTAGCTTCTAGAAACACAATGAAACATGAAATCTCCCCCAAAGTGTTTTACAAACACTTTGTAAAATAGAAAGATATTAACCATCTGTTTATAGTGAGCACCATTCTAGCAATTCGTATCCTATTTTTCTCTTTTTCTTGATATGCTTTTCCCAAATGCACAAATACCCATTTTTATTGATTCTATGATGCTACAAACTAGAAAATGCACCATTATTTTATGTGCCAGCAAGAAAGAAAATATGCCTGATAACTGTAGTATTGTACAGTTGATACAATTGTAGTATCCAAATTTCAGAGATGTTAAAATGTGAAAGAAGCAGAAATTCAGCACCTCTCCTGGGAAAGTATCAGCTCCCACTTTGCACAGTTACTGAAGGAGTATCAAATGCGGGCATGGAGTAGAGGAGGTGGTGTCATCCAGTTCTGCAGAGATGGGCAAAGTCCTGGGTTTGACACCGAAAAAGCCAGGTGATTCAGCTTTGCTCTGAAGCTGCAGGCCCTAACTCTGGCAGGCACACTTTGTAGTCCCGAGCTGTAGGTGGGATTGGGGGGATGAGGGACCCCGGACTGGTTAGGGTAGACATGTCCTTACTGTGGGCAAAGCAACATGTACCACACTCAACAGTGTCACTTTCACTTACGAAAGTCAGCAGACAAGTAAAGCAACTGACATAATCACTTCCCTGGGGGAATGTAAGGATTCTAGGAAGCAGTAAAAGAAACCCAATGGATAGAAAAGTCCCCTTAAATAGAAAATTCTCCCTTTCTTACTAATTTGATTTGTTTTTTAATTTTTATGTCTCTGTTCAAAAGTTACTTTTTCTGATAATAAAATACACATAGCATACTTGTTAAAGTTTCATTAAATATAAAAGAAACTTTAAAAATATACAGAGAGAAGTTATTTCCTTCTAATCTTAAATACAACAGCTAATAATCAGGATCATACTGCAGTTTTATAACCTACTTTTTTTCACCTAACATTGTATTTCCCCATGTAAATGCTCTCTGACACTTATTCAAAATAATAAATGCAAAATTGCTGACACACACCCCTCTTTTTTTCCCTAGTCACTCATCTGTGGCAACTTTCAAGTTCCTGGCTTCCTTTGAGTTAGTTCAAGGTCATAATTACGTATTTCAAATTTGTTTGCTTCCTTCATAAACATTTGGGGGTGTAACTGAGGCTGAGCAAAAAGCTCAACAGTCCTAGAGTGCATGTGCAGGCCATGTGAGAGCTAAGATCACCCTCCACGCTGAGACACACTTCTTCGTGATCCGATGCCCACAGTCAGTCATTGCACAGTATCTGTAACATTAATTTAGAACTGAAAGGGACCTTTGATCTGCAATTACTACTAAGGCTATTCTTTACATTTTACATGGTAGAGTTTAATTTTAAAGTCCTTCAAAAATCTTTATTAGAGATCATAAAATTATGGGGCGCCTGGGTGACTCAGTCATTAAGCATTTGCCTTCGGCTCAGGTCATGATCCCAAGGGTCCTGGGATCGAGCCCCGCATTGGGCTCCCTGCTCAGCCAGGAGCCTGCTTCTCCCTCTCCCGCTCCCCCTGCTTGTGTTCCCTCTCTAGCTGTCTCTCTCTCTGTATCAAATAAATAAATAAAATCTTTTAAAAATAATAAAAAAAAGAGATCATAAAATTAATGATTTCGTGTCTAGATCTTTAATATATTTTTTTAAGAAACTGATGTTTCTTAGAAAATTTTACAGTACCCAGCTGTCACTGATTCATGACAAAAATATCTCACACTCTGTCCTGAGACATCGCAGAGAGTTGAAAAGTCTATTCTTTGAGAAAAGCTGCAGCAGTGTGGTATTTTGAAGAAGGAAGCTGTAAATGAGAATTGTTTCTATGGAAATACGATCTCTGTTTACAGGTTACCTCAGTGACTGCTCCATTCCCCATAGTTTTTGTCACAATTTGTATACTCATATTTCTGTGACTATCAAAGGGGATGTTCTGCCAGTCTTGGAGACCCTGGACACGGGCTTGCAGTGTGGAGTTTTATGGGCGATGAAGGGAGGACAGCTACGCGGATGTGGAAGTGCACCCGTTCCCAATCACACCTATTTTATTACATCTGAAGCTCTACATGTTTGAAGTCATTTTCTTTAACACCTTTCTAAAATATGTTTGGCAGAGGAAAGGATGTGAACCAGCCCAAGCCAGTGCAATCCGGGACCAGAGGTGTGAGGAGGATGACGAGCTCACAGGCTGGGGAGGTTGGTTATCTCATCCCTGCTCAGGGGCCAGAGGCATAGCAGTGGTGGAGGGATCTTCCCCGTGGGGCATGACGTGGGGCATGACGACAGCGGCCACCCCGGTGGCCGACAGGCCTTCATTTCCAAATCTACCCTAACCACTGACACTAGACCTCATGGGAGTGAGCAAACTAGACTGCGAGGAAAAGATGCCCTTTACTTACAAGGTGAAGCTACTGTTCACAAGTTTTTGACAAAAGTAAGTTTCTAAACCAGAGTTACCAATGCAAAGTTTTCATCAGCTTCTCATCCGCAAGTACCCAGCCTTCATAGCCAGGAGCAGGCAGCAGCTGCCCTCCATCCCCAGAGAGGGCTTCTAGTCTAGGTCATCTATCCCATTTTACTAGACAAATAAGTACCAGTCCGTACATTGCAGCCATATTTTATTTTACTATCTCTAATTCTAAGTCAATAGTACTTTCATTAAAAAAAAAAACCAGTAAATTTTTCTTTAAAAATAGGATTCACTTCTTTTTTATGCCAAGTGTCTTCATAGCAAAAGAAGAGCAACTCTGAGTTCCTTGAGAAGCGGACGCAAAGCAAGCCTCTGCTTCCGCATACTGCTGAGTCGCAGCACGACAGACAGTAGACACACAAGTAAAAATTGTCTCGGTGTCGACAACACAGTGTGAATTCCTACTAGGGCAAATGCAGACTCAGGCTATAAATACTTACCATGCATGTGTATATGCAAGGGCTGTGCTGACTTTAAGACAATTTTTTTTTTTAAGTAGGCTCCATGCCCAGTGTGGGGAGCCTGAAATTAAGAGTCGTGTGCTTTCCTGACTGAGCCAGCCAGGCACCCCAGGGCCGTAGTGACTTAAACTGACTTAAGAGGGAATATAATCTAGGATGGCTTAACTAACAAACTGAAACTTCAAATTAATTTTTGTATCGCAAGAAGCAAATGATGATTTCACTTCCTTTCCCTCTGGTTGTTCAGCTGAGTACTTTTGGTTTTTTGAGCTGTAATGTTCTGCACATCATTTGTTCCTTTTGATTCTCTCCCCATCTCCTTCCTAAAAGTGCTGATTTATTATGTATTTTGAAAATAATTAAAATTAACTGTTTCCAGATTCTTTTTTTTTTTTTTAAAGATTTTATTTATTTATTTGACAGAGAGAGAGCACAAGCAGAGGGAGTGGGAGAGGGAGAAGCAGGCTCCCTGCCGAGCAGGGAGCCCGATGTGGGGCTCGATCCCAGGACCCTGGGACCATGACCTGAGCCGAAGGCAGACGCTTAACAACTGAGCCACCCAGGTGTCCCTGTTTCCAGATTCTTAATGACAATTTCTCCTTACCCTTTTTGGGTTATTTATAATGCCAGGGTGGGCTGAAGGCTGTTTGAGTCCAGGGCCCTTGTTCTGACTTGCTACACAAAACTCTTTTAATAGTGTGGTTGAAAAACAGGTCTGTCCTGCATCTGTCCTGACTGACCCCCCCTTCCCCTCCAGCAGATGAAGGAGCCCCTCTGCCTTCTTATTCCCCACCTGCCATATCATGCAGCTTGCCTCTCCTCACTCTGCACCCACATCTGCTGTTTACAGCGCAGCAGTGGGGCAGGTGATTGTTAAAAAACCATGCTTGTTCCATCTGCACCTGAAACCAGCTAGAAGGAAGCAGCTCTATGAAATCGCTTTGTTACCATGGGAACAAAGACCAGATTTCTCAGTGTAGTTTTCGCTAAGATGACTTCCAGCAACACAATCTGCAGAGAGAGGCTGGGAGTATTGTCTAATTCCACAAAGAAGCAAACACCAGGGGTCTGCGTCTTAAGTCCAAACCTCCTGGCATTAGACAGTGGGTGACCTCGCTTGGAATCAGAAAGCCCCCAGTAGCCCGGCTATAGTCTAGTCTTGGCTGCCGGGCTTGGTTTCTTCACCTCTAGCAGAGCAACACACCATCCCCCAACACTCATCAAGGCGCTGAACTCTCTGATTGCAAAGAGATTTCAACATCTCTACTCCTCCTCCATGCCATAGTGAGCTGCATTCTCCTTCCTTTGGAGTAAACACTATAGCCACCTCAGCCGCATCTGAGCTTGTTAACAAGCCCTCAGGGGAAACCATTACTCTCCTTGCCTTTAGAAATAAGCCCTGGTCCTTACACTAAAGGGAGCCAGAATGTGCCTCATATTTTCCACTATGTATAGGGTTCCCAGGACACTCACACTTCATTGGAATATCCAAGGTGCTGGCTCAATGAAATCAAGTTTTGATGGTCTTTAATGCTGGCCCTGTTAGGCTCCATGCCACAGTGAGGGGTTACCAGACGAAGAGGGAGGTTTTCACTCTGGCCATGACTTTTAGGAAGTTTATCCGTGCACCCTCTCTCAAAGGAAGGAGTGGGGTTGGGCCAAAGTGCAAGGGGTCAAATAAGACTTTCATGTTACTAAAAAGGCACATGGTTCAATGGGCTAAGAAAAAAGTTTCAATCCCAGGTCACTTGGGGACTCACTGAGTACCCCTGGGAGGTGTGTGTGTTGCATACCTAATCAACCACACTCTGGCCACACTCCCTTCAAACCCAGTCACTTTATCTCCACTCTCATTACTTTAGTTTCCAAGGCTTTAACAAGGCACACTTGGCCTGCCTCTTCCTAACTGGCCTTCTATTTCTAATCTCTTCTCATCGTAAGTAATTCTGAATAGACAAAATTTAAAATGCAATTTCAATGGTAACTCTAATTCTTTTCTTTTTTTTTAGATGGGTGGGGGAGAGAGAGAGAGAGAATATTAAGCAGGCTCCATGCCCAGTGCGGAGCTCAATCCCACAACCCTGAGCTCATGACCCAAGTGTAAATCAAGAGTCGGACACCGACTGAACACCCAGGTGCCCTGACAACTCTAATTCTTGAAGTGCTAACTATGGGCTGGACACTTTGATGAGAGTTTTATATATATCATCTCAGTGAATCTTTTTAAATTCTATATGATGAAAATTATCCTTATGATGAGGAAACCAAGATCAAATGGCTAGTAAGTGGCAGAGCTAGAATTCAAACCTGAATCTATGTGACCTCAGAACCTTCTCAGTCCCCATACTATACAGCCACATGGAAATCATTCGTACATAAGCCTATCAAGACTTTCTAGTTACCTATCATGACCAATCTAAACTTTGGCTGTTTTTTTTTTTTTTTTTTTTTTGGAGGAGGTGATCCCCTTCCTCTGAATTTCTACAATGTTCATGGTCTGTACTACACAATTCAATAGTGAATTACACTGAGTACTAGTGTTTACTAAGTGTTTTACTTAAATCAATTTCCCCAAAGATCACAGTAGGACTTCTCTTTGGGCAGACATTGTATCTTAGAGCACTCCTTATTTTACAACCTTCCCCAGTAGAGTGCAGGCAGGTCATAGGAATTCAGTGGCTAACTGTGAGGCTCACAGCTGCGGCACAAAATGGGGACAGTAGCCTTACCATATGCCAGGCACTGATCTAAGGATCTTGCGTGCAGTGGCTTTCTCAGTCCTCATAACACCCCTACAAGGGAGCTATTGTTATTACACCCATTTCACAGAAGAGGAAAGCCTGGGCACTGAGTTCAAGTAAATGATCCAAGGTCAAACAGCTAGTAGGTGACAGAGCTGCAAGGTAAACCCAGATGGTCTAGCTTCAAGACCCACACAATTAACTATTAGGTAAAATGCCTGGGTCCACTGAAAAGAAAATTTTGTCAGCAATGAAGAGAAAAAGAATGATATAGGGATGATCTCTTCTGTCAACAACCAACAGAAGGAAGCAAGCAGGGAACAATATCGTTTTGGAAACTCCCACTGGAGTATCCTATTCTGCAGCACCTTTCCTAAACATACCTGAAGAAAAATATTTAAGTTATTTTTCCTAATAATCTAAATAAAACTCATTTCAAAGTTACTGATAAGCAAGGGAAACAAATTTCCTGAAAGTCAGTAAAATCAGGTCTCAACCAGTCCAAACATCGATTAATGCCTCTAACAAAAAGTAGTTTCTTTTGTAGGAGTGAAAGTATGACTAAAGCAATTTGTTCTGTAGGGTAAATGAAAATCAGTCCTGAAGCTGCTTGCTTTATTATATCCTTTGGTCCCTTTAAAAACCCAAAGGTACTCAAACCTTGCTGCTTTTGGTCTGATAAAGGGCACAAGGTAGGATAAAGCAAAACGGATTGATGTCCCTCTATCAGCAGGCTTGAGCTGGAAGTCAGAAGGCTGGACTGGTTGCTGTGGGGTGGGGTGGGGTGGGGCAGTAACGGGGTGAGCGGAGGCTGATTAGAAGCCAAACTACAATACCCTAGGGGCCAAGAGTGTTAATGTTAAGCTCCAACCGCCAGTTGTGACAGAGGTACCACATTTCTCTTTTCGACCCGTAGGTAGGGACAGATTCACCGTCCTCGTGTATTCCCCCAGCCCTGCCTCCACCTGTTGAGTGCCATGGTGACTGTAGCTCCCTGTTGCATCTCCTGAGAAGCTGCCACCGCGGCCTCCGCCAATGAGGCCACCGCCTGGGTGGCCTCTGACGCTTGTGTCGTCTGGATGGTCATCTCACCTCCCTGTAACGTGGCCCAGTTTTGTTCCACCTGAGGCAGAAAGGACAGGAGAGTAAAGAATCAAAGTCACAAAAGGATTATAACAAATTGCTACGTGCTCAGCCAAATACATACACATTTTTAAATTAACATGACCTACAATGTACAGAACAGGGTTTTTAGTATGCTATCTTTTGTGTATAAAAAGGGGGGTATTAGAATATATATTTGAATTTGCTTATATTTGCACAAAGAAATTCTGGAAGGACACAAAAGAAACCACTGAAAATATTTTCCTCCTTGTGTGTCGCGGGGAGGGGAGTTGTGGGAATAGGTTGGCTAGGAGACAGAAAGCAAGATTTTCCAATGTATACTTTTAAATAATTTTTGAAATATCGGAGCCGTATCGATGTATTACCTATTCTTTTGAATTCTTTTGAATAGGTAATATATTAATATGGCTCAGATTAAAAAATTTGAATAAACCATAAGATTCAAAAGTTAGAATTTTTGAATAGACCATAAATATAATTCTAAAAAAATTCAAATGATACCAAAGGATATGCAATGCCGGTACTCCCGACCTTTTGCCCGGAGGTGGCTACGGTTACCTATCTCTTATGTGTCTTTGCAGGGACATTCTCTCTATATGCAAGCATATTTATACACACACACACACACACACACACACACACACACACACACACACTCCCTCCTATTTCCCCCTTCCTACTCCCTCTTAAAAAATAAAAATGGCAGCTTATTCTACATTATCTTTTTGTACCTTGCTTGTTTCACCAACAACACATCTCTGAAGTAATTCTATTTTGGAACATATAAAACTACTTCATTCATTCATGACTCATAATGATGGCTGCACAGCACTGTAGTATGTAAGCACACCATGATTTATTTAACCAGCCATCTTTTAATGGGCATTTAAGAAGTTTCTAGTCTCTTGCTATTACAAACAGTACTGTGATGAATATCTTTGCATACCACATTGTATATTTTATGGGAGTCTATTTATGGAGTAAATTCCTAGAGGTGGGGCTGTATATTAAAGTTATTATATATTTTAATTTTTGATGGAAACTGCCGAATTCAGGAAACATTTTTTTTTTTTTAATGTAGCAAAAACGGCTTTCCTTTTAGTGGAGAGGAATTATGAAGAAACAAAATAAAACATACAAAAAAACTTTTAACTGGTGAGAGAACAGACTAGGATTTAGTTTTGTTAGATCAAGGACAGGGGTTTTCTCGGCACTGGCATTATTAACATTTAAGGCCAGACAAGTCTTTGCTGGGGCGGGGGGCTGTCCTGTGCATTGTAGGATGTTTCGCAGTACCACTGGCTTCTACCCACTCACTAGATGATAACAGCACCCTCCCCAGTCATGATATTCAAAAACATCTCCAGACATTATCAAATGTCCTGGGGGCGGGGGGGGGGAGGGTATACCCTGATTGAGAACCACTCCCTTTAGTATAATGCTTTGCATTTAGAGATGTCTCAGTCCTGGATACCTGTATCTAGCTACTTTAGTCCATTTTGCTCAATAAGTGCAGTTGATTAATTATTCCCCCTCAAAAACAAAAAGCAGCAGGGGCAGTGAAAGCAATTTTTAATCGAAATTAGGGTAGGTGATAAATCAGTCCGCTCAGGTACAGTATCTCTATGGGTTTGGGTCTCCGGATGTCAGCTGTGCTCACTGGAGCTCTGATTCACATTGCTTGGGCCCAGCGAGTGGAGAGCTTGTGCTTGCATATTAACTGTGTCCCAAAGAAAGTGTCACAAGCTTAGGAGAGGTAGATACTTAAAATGCCTCCTGCTTTTCTATTACCATACTTAAGATGATGACAGTGCTTCTCAGAATGCTTGTCAAAAGCCTCCCAGAAAATGGGACATTCCTTTGAACTACCCTAGTATTTGCCCTGAGTTCTCATAGGCAGTGGATTATGCCAGCAAGCCTTCAAAGCCCATCACTAAGAGGCAGAGACATCCCATTTCCTCCCCCTTAGAGCTGCAAAGTTGCCCACTCAGGAACTCACAAAACTCTTGCTTCCCAAGAGTTAATATCTCTTTGATTTCATTGCTCCAGTGAGTGTCACTGCAAATGATGCCACTTTAAATGGCAAGTGACACTGCCAATTTGCAGATGGTCTATGATTCCACTCAAAACACCAGCCAAAGCTGACCAGCCCCTGTCACCTTTTGCCATTAAACAGTCTTCCTCTTTCCAGATCTGCCCCTCTATATTTTTGCCCATCCCACTGCAGAGCTTGGCCTAGTGCGGCTCTCCCAATACTCAGACTCCAATGGCAGCAATTTAATGTATACACATTTAGTTACAACTGTATTCGTAGCAAAAATGGTATTAGAAAGATGCCATATACAGTATACTTTAAGGAAGTTAAATTATATGGCATGAAAGATTAATGGATGGTGGCAAAGGGTAGAGAGGAAGTAGGAAGAAGAAGCAGACGAAGAGATTTCTATTCAGAATAATGGCAGGTGATAAATAAATCACTTGGGTGTTAACATTTCTTTGGAATTTCCTATTCTTCAGTCTCAGTGCTTTAGTTGTATTTGCTTGAGCTCTTGTTGCTCTCCCTTTCCATCTGTTGGGAGCCACTGTGTGGTTATCTATGCCGGATGTCACCATGTCCCAGAGAAAGGGCCCCAAGCCCTAGGAGGGAAAGATATTCAGAGGATGTACAGTTAGCATCAATGCTTTTCTGAGAGACCCACTCCAATGAGGCCCTTCAAACTGTGGTCACTCTTACCCCTCTAGCTACAGTGAACCACTCTCTTCCACACTCTCCCAGTGCGATGCACTGCATGTGCTGTTCCCTTCGATAGGAACACAACAACTCCCACCTTTGCTTCTTGTCTGACCTCAGGTGAACCTTAAGGAGCCCAGACAACTCCCTCTATTCCCCTGTGGTCGAGGCTCAGGATCTCTCCTCTGTGTTCCATAGCACCCTGGGCTTGCTTCCTCTAGATCCTTACCTCATTGCCATTGTGCTTTGATGTGTTTTTCTCTACCACCTACCTGTGTGCTCCTTAAGAGCAAGAGCAGTCTTTATTTTCCTCTATGTATCAAATCTATGTAAATGGCACAGGGCTCAGAAAGTGTTTACTGAATGGCAGGATGGAGAACATATTCCTTTATTCATGTTTTCCTACTTGTTCTTCAGCCTACTTATATTTCAGGTAAACTGATATTCATTAAAAAGCCATCTAGAATAAGTTGTTCTACTGTTACATGTGGGATGGTTCAGCTTAAAATTCATGTCTTCAACCTCTTTGTACTTTGGTTTCTTCTTCTTCTTCTAACAGAACCATATATACCATTATGATCACATAACATTCTCTTTCCAAATTTGACTTTTCTGACACTTACATGCAATTAATATCACCATTACCAACTGGTGGTCTTACAACACAACAGAATAAATTCTCAAACCCATCTGCATTTGTAAGTATGCCATCAAAATTGAAATTGTATAAATAATTTTGAAATCAACATAGTTTATTTCATATTATTTTCAAATTCTTTCCTTGTTCCTTTTTTCTTAAAGTAGGTTCCACGCCCAATATGGGGCTTGAACTCATGACCTTGAGATCAAAAGTCATATGCTCTTCCAATTGAGCCAGTCAGGTGCCCCAAAAGTCTTTTTTTAAAGTTTGTTTATTCATTTAAGAAATCTCTTCACCCACCGTGGGGTCCGAACTCACAATACTGAGACCAATAGTCACATGCTCTTCCCACTGAGCCAGCCAGGCGCCCCTATTTCCTTGTTCATTTCTAAATGTCTATGTAACTTAGAGTGTCCTTATTTAGTTTTAAGCTGACTAAGGTTAGAGATTTTTTGTTTCTTTGTAACTACAGTCAACCCTTGAACAACACAGGTTTGAACTGTGTGGGTCCATTTATAAGGGGATTTTTTTTTTCAATACAGTGTAGTACTATAAACATGTTTTCTCTTCCTTATGATTTTTTAAATAATACTTTCTTTAGCTTGCCTTGTTGTAAGAATACAGTATATAATACATATAACATATAAAATATGTGTTAGTTGACTGTTTATGTTATCAGTAAGGCTTCTGATCAATACTAGGCTATTAGTAGTTAAGTTTTGGGGGAGTCAAAAAGTTATATGTGAATTTGACTGCATAGGGGGTCTGTGCCCCTAACTCTCACGTTGTTCAAGGGTCAACTGGACTTAGATTATTGGGCATTCTCAGGACATAGAGTATTCAAACAGATTTGGGAGACCATATATTACCAGAAGAGACAAATGTAACTAAATGTAACTAACTGGATGTTGCAGGCAGTGTAGTCTAATGGCAAGAGGTCTCACTGGCAAGGTTAAGGAGGAAAAAAATGACCTCACAACTTCTAAAAGTATAGGTATCATTTATTTTTGTAAAGTAACTGGATGTTGAAGGCAGTGTAGTCTAATGGCAAGAGGTCTCACTGGCAAGGTTAAGGAGGATAAAAATGACCTCACAACTTCTAAAAGTATAGGTATCATTTATTTTTGTAAAGTACTTTCTGTTCCTTGGAAGAAAAGATGTGAAATACAAGGCAGTAGGATGTTTTTACTGAGTCATCTGATATAATGTTTCATTAACTTGATGTGGTCTTATCTGCCCTAAGCAGTGAGATATTTTGAGTAATTCCAGTTCTTATGATTCAAAACTGAGATGCTAACAACCATGTCAATATCTAGGAGAAATGAGAAGGCAACTAAATCACACTTTGAAATCTAAAGACATTTTGTCCCTTTCTGAGATAAACTGTGCTGCTTCTCTTCATATCATTTTTATTTCACTGGAAGTGTGCAAAGAGTTACATTTTTTTTTTTTAATCTGACTGAATTTGGGTATTTACCAGCAGGCTATTTCTGTCATTCACCCATTCCTACAATCGATGACTTAAAAATGATGTGCTGACAAAGCCGTAGATAAGTCACTGAGTTGTATTTTTTTTTTAATTCTTCCTATTTTTCCGTGAACTTCTGAATACGTTAATTACCACTATATATGGGAAGTTATTTAGTAAAATGGGCTTCAAAGAATTAGTCTCTAGAGAAGTGTTTAAGAAACACAGAGCTGCTTTCTTTAAATAGTATCAGGAAACATTCAGTAGGGAGATATGGTTGATAACTTTGGTTAAGTCAGAGAGTAAGAAATCTTGTGAATGTACCCACCACTGTCTTTTCTCTCTTTCACATTTCAAGTTCTAGTGTCATCTAGTGTCCTCCAGTTCTAGTGTTTGGGGAGATGGATTTTTCCCTCAGCTAATCCATACTCTTGTATGATGTTTATATACTTATAAAAGTAAATATCCTGTCGACTGTTACTTTCCTATACTGTAAAACCAAATGCTGCTCCTGCCCCCAAACCTTCCCAGACTCCCTAGCTGGAAACATTCTCTCCTGAAGGCACAGACCACTTTGCAGCATCTTCCACAGCATGGAACAGAGTTCATTTACGTAGACACTTCTCTCCCCCACCAGACAGGAGGAGCGTCTTGCGAGCAGGGTTCCCGTGTAAATCCACTTCACACATCTAACGCGTCAGTGCAGCATCACAGGGGCTCACTTCCTGCTGGCCGACTGCAGAGCCTGGCTGTGTTTTCTTCATCTCCCTAGCCATGAGATCTTTCTTACTTCTCTCCCTTTCCTGAGTTGTGCAAATGAAAATGACTTTTGTGGTGTTCTGAGTGGAAAGCCCCATGGTTGTGAACAAGGATGAGATAATACTTTTAGCTTTATTTCTAATACTGCTCTTTGACATTTGTTAGCTGTTTTTCAAGCTTCAGGGCTACACCATACTGGTACTGTTAGGGGAAAAGCCCACAGTGCCTTAATGAACCCTTTCCTGAACTTCACAAATGGCTCAGAGCTCAGAGCCTGGACAACATTTTTCTAAATGCATTACTCAGCTTCAACACTTACTCCGTGACTTTGGGCAAGTCACCTAACCTCTACGTGTTTCAGTTTTCTCATCTATAAAGTGAAGATAACAGAACCTATTCTTAATAGGGTTGAGCACTTAGCTTACCAAGTGCTCAATTAAGGCTAGCTACCATTAGGTTAACATCCCATAATTACCTTGATTTTGGTAGAGAAGGATGTTCTCATAAAGTCTTTTCAAAGGCATATTTAAAATGTAATAAATCATGGCCACTGATATGCAAATATTTTTATCCCTCCAAAGAATTCTTCAGTAGCTCCAGTCTTAATAATCAATTTTTTTTTTAATAAAGCCCAATGATTAAATCTTTGGGATTCACAGCATAAAAGTATTACATGGATAATCTCTTTTTATTGTGTATTATACAAAATGCTATATTGCAAATGTAAAATTATAATTTCAATTATTACAATTAATATACACAGCATAAGATACTCTGCAAAACTGTCATGGCCTGATGTTTTAAAAGGCTTAAATAAAATAATGCTACAGATGTGTCGGCTACCCGGTCTTTTTATATTCTGGACTCTAACTACTCCCTCACCTATACATTTAAGTATTTTAAGTAGACGCAGACCAAATCCTCTTTCTTACCTCTCCATCAGCCACTGCAGAATAATTCACTTGGGCAACAGTGACTGTGGTTGGCAATTCTGAAGCATCAGCCAATGTGGCTACCGTTGCCCCTGTACCAACCTAAAGAAAAACACGGAGAGTGGTGTCAGCGGATGGATCATTCTACCTCTCCCTTACTCAGAAGTTAAGATTCATGTAATCCCAAATTCAGCAAAGGTAATGATTAGTATGTTTTGTAATGTGAAATGCGCTACTAAAATCATATCTCAGATACTTACGTGAGGTTCAGAATTTTATTTCAACCAAATAAATCACTATCAGAAGCTATCACGTTTCACCATCAGTAAACTAGTATCAGTCGACCAACTTTCTACTTTCACCCCAATCGGAACATTAGAGGTTCCCCATCTACCAACAAGTTACGTTTTACCTCAGAAGAGCTAATTCCGAAGGAATAGCTCCTGGTCCTTGACAGAATGAAACAGTACAAAAGTAGCCAATTTAACAGTGCTTTGTTTTGGAAAAAACAAAGAAAAAGCTACCGACAGCTCTGTATTTAACAAATTGCAAACAATTTAAAGTATTATTCAAAAATCAATTTCAGGTAGAAAGACTTCGGGAAGCTATAAAAAGTTAATTAAGAGTTTGCATGACAAAAATTTTCTCCAGTCTGAGGTGAGGTGCCCGCTGATCCACCTCAGAAGCCACAATCTGAGAACCACAGGTTTTACTCACCTGGATCAGTGAGACAGTGCCATCAGGGTTACTAAAGGTCTGGACTACCGTCTGTGATGGTACAAGATGGGCTATACTGTGTGTGGTTGTGGCCTGTGTTTGTGTTTGCTGATCTTCGAAAGCATACAAAAGGTCCTCCCGCCCATGCTGTTTATAACAGTTTTTAACTATGGTCCGTAGTGCCTGCGTCCATGAAACCTGTCACCAAAAGACCAGACAAGCACATTAAAGTCACAAAGAATGTTGGTTATTCAGCCCCACTATGGAATAAGCAGGTGCTTATTTATCAAACCAAACCAAACCTGTACAGAATAAGCTCCCTTAGGGTTATTTCCCTTAGACTGATTGTGGCACAAAGAAATTCAACACCAAGCACCAAAGATGTCCTACTAGTTTCCTTCCTGATCAAAGCCTGGTTTAGCTTTTGGGTTTTTCTGAGGCCAACTCACAAAAGAAGTTGACTCTTTTGTCAAGAATTTTGTATTAAGATTCTCAATAAACTTCCAGGCTAACTAAAAAACAAATATGCAGAAAAAGCAAGGGATGACATCTAGTTGAGCCCATCTTTTTAATGGAAGTATCATTATCAGACTCAGCCAACTTCTCATCTCTTTAATTCTATATTTATATTTCTCAACAGTGGTTCCTGCTAACCAGAAATAAGGACATCTTCTAAGTCTTCAGAGTGATTAATACTTCTTCTTAACGTTTCTTCAGTTTTTCCAAGCACCTCATAATATTAAAACTGCTCCAAAAGGCAAGTAGGCAGAGAGAAGTGTAAACTCATGGACCTGCCCCGAGTCTTTATAGTGATGAAGTGATGGAATGGGAAAGGCTACAAATCAGACAGTATCAAACTTCTCTGGGAGACAGGTTTGACTTTCACACACATGTTTTTAGACTTTTTAGCATAAGAAGTAGAACCCCCAAAATTGAGGTAGTTGATTCAGTGTGGAAAAGCAACAGGCTACTCAGGTCTGAGAAACCCTCACCCTCTGCTTTTGCTCTTCTGTGCGGACGTCACTCCGGACATTTGCCCATGGGATATCTTCAGGCCACCAGATGGGCTTGCAGCTTTCTTTGCCCCAGCCTGGTTTTCCTCGACCTGTGGAGTACTTGAGCATCTCTGGAATAAATGCCCGAAGCTGGGCCTGGAAGACAAGAGTGTGGTCATCAGCAGTCATGAAAAACATCTGGGGTGTGCTTGTGTCTAAAACAGAGAGCCTTCCTGGAGGGTCCCAGAGAATTCCAAGATGTGACTGATGAGAACCCGTTGTTTTTCCACAGGTTACCATAGCTCCATGGGTGGCGGAGAATTATACGTATGTTGGTAAAGTATACCTTAAACTATATTTCATTGACTTGGCCCTAGAAGATCAAGAATACCTGCCAACGAGTCTGATTTCTGCCTAAGATACTATGGATGCTATTTCTCTCATTTCCATCCTACAGCAGCTTTCCACACATTTAAGGTGTCAAACAAAGCCGATGTGTTTTCAACATTGTTCTGGAGGTAGTAACCAGGGCAAATAGATCAGAGAAATAAGAGGTGAGGAGCAGGTAGAATCATCACTATTTGTAGATGATATGACTGTGCATCTGGAAAACCCCAGAGAATCATACGAAAAACTACTATAAACAGTAAGAACATTCAGGAAGGTGGTTGGTTACAAATGGGAAATAGGGTCTACTTAATAAAAAGGGAAAATAACCCTAAAGCTTTTCCAGAAAGTTTCTGGTATGCTAGGCCAATGTCTCTGAGTCTGACATACACATAGAGTAAGCATATGTGATCTTAAACACATTATGGACTTCATTCAGATTTATTTCACAAATCGAATCCAGACCAGGCAGGTGTTAAACCAGAGACAACTGCCATTCTTTATCTCTTGGCACAGTAACCACACTAAGCGTGTATGTTGGAGGAGAAGGGGAGCTTACTTTGTGAATACTCTTAATTGCAGACAATGAATTTTGGCAAGAGAAGCAGTTTATCAAGTTACAACGTTCCTCCCTGGACCTACTGCTTTCCCTTTAACCTCTGCAACACTCCAGAGAGAAGCAGCATCCTCCAACTAAGGACACATCCATACTGCCCCTACAGCTCAAGACCAAAAGGAGAAGACAATTTTAGCAATGAGTCAGACCCAAGGACATGGGCTTGCAGTAATAAAAGAGAAAAAGAAAACAGAAATGGGAATGGTTAAGTATTAATGGGAGAAGGAGCACAACACCAGTTTTACATTCAAGAGCCTATTGAGATATCAGGTGTTCTTATTTGAATATTATTTTACCAGAAGCTGATACCAATTATTATATAAGAGGGAATCATGAACCCAAATCAGTAATGCTTCCCCTAACGAGGAGAGCTCTGGTTGACTGTATTTACATCATCGATCCTTGTGCGGAGCCTGCCATTTCACCTCCCCAAGTCCACCTCTCCCAGACAGTCTCCTGCCTACAGGATATGATATAATACACTTGGTATATATTTGGCTCTGCGGCATCAAGCAGCAGGCTAATAGAAAGTATCCATTTGCAAACCCAGGCTATCAGCTGGCTCATGAGGTCACTCCTTCAGTTATTTTAAGAAAGTGCATCTCAAAGTCATTTTCCCCTTTATCCTGCTTTCCTGGGAGGGTGTCTTTTTCTTGCCTCAGATACAGGGAGAAGGAAAAGGCTTAATCCTCACACACAATATTTGCGTTTCTTCAAGGGAAAAAAATAATGGCTTTCTCAGATGCAAAATAAACTGATACCACACACTTTCACAAGTCTCTCTTTTCTTTTAATCCCATTAACACTCTCCAAAAGGAGAGTTCTGAATATCCATACCTAGCAGAGTCTGGAGATAATGATGTAAGGCTCAACAGCTCTAAATTAACATAAGACGACAGTGTCCAGAAGAACTCGCTGTCAAAAACACTTGGCTGACAAGAGTCTGCTCCAATACTACCTGGAACCCCATACATTCTCCAATTCTGATGACTTTGAGCTTCTGATCCCGCACCCAGTCGCATCATGGTTTCCCACACTCTTCAGCCCTGGGTCACCCTGGCACCTGGTGACAGACACCTTCCATCCTGTCTTGTTTTTTTGGCTCTCTCACATCAGGCTTTCACTGGGTTTCAAGGACTCACAGGTTACAGGAAGTGTGGGCAGTGCACACTCATTTAAAACCCTCCTCTGCCTTCTCTCCAACCACCTGTCTTCTCAGTCTTAGTCTTTGCTAGTAGAACCCCACTTTCTTTCCCTAGACAGTCAAGCTCAAAATCTCAGTCAGCTTTACCTCTTTCCTTCAACACCCATCTGGCTACTCATTGCAAGTTCAATTCTTTCTTCTTTGAAATGTCTGTGCTCTCCATCTCTTCTTTTCCAGACCCACCTTCATCCCCACTTCCTAGTCCAAGGCTAGTGCATCCTTCTAGCTGACCTTCTTATGGAATTCCAGGTTCTCCCCTTTCTTCCTCATCCCATGCATCCTTGACAGACAGATTTCCCTAAATGCTGCACAGATCCTATGCTCAAAAAAAAAAAAAAAAAAAAAAAGAAACGAAAACAAAAACTTTCAAATGGCCTCTCACTACTAGCAACCAAACTAGACTCCTCTGTTTAGCTTTTCCAGCCCGCCACAATCCGGCCTCCCAGCACACTCAGTTCCTGCTAATTGCCAACAGGCAGCCTTGGCCCTATTTAGGTGAATCTCTGCACTATCTATGAACTGAACTCATTCCTGCTTTATCCTTTTGATTTGTTCCCCTTACTGGAGCACCTTCTCAAGCTACCATTCCAATGCTGACACTTGTTCCTTGTTGCCCAGCAAATCCCACATTCTTTGTGAAATATCTCTTGACTACTTCTCAAGTCAACTTCTTGCCAATCAGTCAGTAAGAACACAAACTCCAGACTCAGAGAGTTGGCTCTGAATCCCAGCTCTCTCTGAATGTTAATTTTCTCAACTGCAAAATGATAACGGCAAGTATACAGGGTCAATTCAAAGGATCAGAGATAGTGGGGGTATATGCACATAGTTGCACTGACTTAATAGCAGTTTTACTATTATTACTTCAGTCATCAGCCCTTTTCTCAAATTCAAAGAAAAAGTCAAAAATGTTCTGAAATGGTTTTCTAGTACTAAACACACTGTGATGTACGGAAAGACATTTATCCTTAGTTTTCCAAGGCGGGTATGGTGGGTATGGGGGAAAAGGCAGAAGGAGATAGAAGTATGAGTTTATATGTATCTGTGTAAACATGGCTCAAGATGAGAAATAAAGAACGCTAGAATCAAAAAGTGACCATTGAGGCCAATTCCGTGCCTTGAGGAATTAAGCTGTTACCAACACGCCCCAATGCGTAGATGGTTTAGGCAATTTGTTCTGTGGGATCTTTGAGCATTTTTTTTTTCAAGTGTACAAGCAGATTACTAATGGAAATCATCAGAAAGTGGGACTCAAGTGTAACCATAATTAGAAGAGAAAACTAGAACTAGGCAGCTGTCAGAGATGTTCCATGTGCTAGAAATCTCTGGATGGTCTTGGGAAGTCTTGGGAAGAAGAGAGTAGGAGAAACAAGCAACACACAGGGAAGGTTGCGTACACAGGCAAAACTCCATCAAAAATGAAAAAATGGGACCAGAGTGAAATTTAACTGCTGGTATACAAGTTCTAACTCAGAGGTAGATTTTAACTTTTTACTAATTATCAAATGTATAAATTTGCCCCCATATCAAAACAAGAGGTAAAAAGCACTTTCTACTATAAAAGTTGACTTTTCAAGTCTGTACACTTGGGGGATGAAGACCATTCTTTGCTTTTAAATGCATAGAAATGATGTGACGTCACTGAAAAAGACGATTTTCCACCAGACTATTATTTTATACTGTCCCGAATAAACAGTGCGAAGGCTAAAGGGACTATCATTAAGGGAAAATGAACTATTCAGTATAGAAAGAGTTAAATGATTTCTTCCCAGAATGCAGCACTGTGCTCTCATTACCAGCTGGATTAATTACTGGTCCTGGAGAGTTTTGGAAGCCCAAGCTACTCAATGTGCTTGTTAAGGAAGGTTTGTCTTTAATCCCCAGAGGAGACAATCAACAGGATCAGCAAAGGTAAAGCCTACCTACCCTCTCTCAGGCTGTCCTTTAATTGGGCTGCAGTGAGCTTTCCGAGCCTCTCATTCTTATTTAGGGTTCTACACGGGCTTAAAGTGCCCCGCTTGGTCAGGAAACCCACCCCAAACCAGCAAAGAGTAGAAAGTACCACTCCTTCCAGGGCACATTCAGCAAAGAAAAATGGTATCAAATTCCTGCCAGTGGCAGTCAAAAGTGAAGATTATGTAGAAACCATAGATGGTTTTAAAAAAGATTTTCTGAAATTCTAAAAAGTTTAATCCAGCCCGAATGAGACAATTCCCACTACGTTAGAAATTTTCCACTCGTAAATTCAGTAGGTTCTTTGCTGTCTTGCCCTTATACATTCCCAAGTGCCCATCTTCTCTCGTTCCATCTTTGTGTGCTTGTACCCAAGTCCTAGGGTTTTTGAGGCCCCTGGTGTCTATTTTGATTCAGTTACCAAGAAAAGGCTTCTCAAGACGTTTGCCAACTCTCCATCTACTTGAGATGAGAGTATATGTAATAAATTTCAAGAGAAAGCTGCTGAAATCAAATTGTGTTGGCAGGTCATGTTTTCTATAGCCTATTGGGAAACAGGAATGTGGCAGAGAAGGAAGACTGGGGAATTTTCAGACTGTGGCTTCATTATTTTAACTTAAAAGTCAACAGACTCAATTATATTCAAATGGATATTTAAAGGGTACTAGAAAGCGAAAGCAAAATGATTTTTTTGCTCACTATTTAAAATGATTTCTACCACTGACCTCTGGTTCATAGAGATAATGAAAGTGACCTTCCTTATTAGAAACGCCAATCCTGTATCCCCCATTCCCTGGTAGCACCAGCAGAAACACTGGCTTCTTTTAATCTCATTTCCCCATAAAACATATTCCCATAGAAACATGGGAAGAACACATTTGGCAGGAAAAATAAATTCAGAGAATAAGAGGGACAGTCAATGAAGACACTCATTTCGAGACTCTTCTCTCAAGCCAACCCTTCTGCTGTCTGTCTTCACACCCCATCAACCTACCA